CTTTACTCAACAGCATGGCCTTAGGTATGAGACGAAAGATGGATTTGAAGAACTCTTTCCATTTTTTTCATGGACATCTGGGTTAACATTTTTTGGTAATATATATTTGCTTCTTTCTTTCTTTGTGAGACAAATATTCAGTACCTTATAATTGCATCCTTACTTTTAGCAGGAAGGTTAAAAAACAACATGCGAACTACAAGCCCAGAATAATATCAAAATAATTCAATAGTCATTTCACATTAGCAGACAGGATTGTAATGATTCATTTCTAATAAGTTATATAGAAATTACATAGAATAAATAGAACTTATTTTTGAAGTGCAACTACTGCCTGGTCACAAAGGCTCGATGTGTGGCAGTTCAAATTTATCTATGTTCCTCTCCATTCTTTGCAAATATTGTAGTTTTCTCATTTTCCTCTGGACCCTACCTTCAGGTTGAAGACTTGACATCACAGAAGCAGGCCTGACAGAGGGTTTTATTTCTTCAGTTGCTGGCAGGCTATGCTCTCACATGGAGGGTAATAGGGACCACTCTCTTGACACACTTAGTTCTCAATTCTCACTTTCCCTAACATAACCATTCTTAGATTTGTAACTTCCATAGATAGTTAATCCACGTAATTTGATTCAGAGCTATATGGGATACTGTATAAATATAGTTTTGCATGATTTCAGTAATGAGTTTATTTAAAAGCACAGGATTTGAAATATGTGTCTTTATGGATAAAACAAGGTAGAATGTAATTGCATTTTATCTCCTAATATATGATGATAAGCAATACTGTTAGGAATAATGATATACGTTACTTTGCTTATGCCTGTGAATGTGACTAAGCAGTGATCATTGATAACTGGCTAAAGAAAAAGTCATAAAATGTAAGTCTATGTTTTATTCATGAATTTGCCTATTTATTTAATATGTAGTTATTTAATGCCTACTACATTTAAAACCTTGAGATAAGAGGACAGTGAACAGGGCAGGCATAGTTTTTACTTTCAGGGAATTTCAGCCAGGGAGATAGACATTAAACATGAAAACAGGTATTATTTGATTATAATTATAAAAATTGCATTACAGTTAAAGAACGAGTTGCATATAGATTAGAAAATAGGGTGCTGGCTAAGGTTTATGCAGTGAGGGAAACTTGCAGGAACCCAAGACTTCATAAAATTAAGGGGGAAATTTTACTAAGAATGTCCTAGGCAAACAGAATAGCCAAGCCTTCAGACAGGAAGGTAGAGTGGTGAGATTGTGGACCTGAAAGGACATTAGAATTAGAGTCCAGAGTGCTTACTAAGTCATGTAAGCACCTGCCTCTTCTACACTTCATCTCGTTTCATAAATCTCTACCTACACCTACCATCTCTACAGGTGATAGATAAGCCACATGATTGCTGAAATTATATAGGGATGGTGAAAAGAAAACTGGGGGGAATAACAGAACCTTGAGACCTCTTGACCCTCAGAGTTTGAGTAAATTAAGGATACTCCAGCAAAGGAGTCTAAGAATAAGCACTCAGAGTGGCAGGAAGAACATTGGAAGCCAAAGGAGGTGACCAGACATGTCAGATGCTGCTGAGAAGTCAAACAAGTTTAAGTCTGGCAGGTTATTGGCCAGATTGAAGTTTCTGAATAGAAATGGATGCTGGGTAGAAAAGAAAAAAGAAGAGCAAGGGAGTGATGGGTATAGAGAAAGCAGAGGGATCAGTGGATCTCAGATCCCACTGAGGTCCACCAATAGCCTTGTCAGGGATTGCGGTAAAAGCAGTCTTGGAGAAGGGAGATTTGGCTGGAGTGGAGAGAATAAACTTGAGGATAGGATATGAAGTGAAAGAGGAACATATTTAATCATGTTGGAAGTGGAAACATTTCAGGTGATTGCAGTAGACTTCATTTGTGATCTTGGGACTGAAAGCATGAGGTAGAAAAATGAGAAATCCATTTGTAATAAGGAGATCCAGGGATGAATAAGACAGGGTGTTTATGTAGATGTGGATATTGTCCAAGATCATGGTGATGCTGGGGCTAGAAAAGACAACATTCCAGGTGCCAAAGCCTTCTCATGAAAGATGCCTAGAGATTAGTAGATAAATGATACCAACAAGAAGAGAGATGGTACATAGCTAGATTAGACAGGAACATCAAAGCAGTAGCCATGTTTTGCATGGAGGTAAGGTTGCAATGGACAACACTCAGGGGAACGGGATCCTCCACTTAAGGGTAGCAGGGATGTAAAAGAATAAGCAGCCAGCATCACTCACAGAAGTGGTATTTTCAAAGAAGAATGGGATTTTAGTCAGGGTGAGAAGGTAGAGACAATGTTCAGAAAAGAAGTTGAATATGTAGTGAAGCTTGCAAACCATAAAGCAAAGTTATCAAGACACAGTGGAAGAATTTGAGAGATAGGAAAGGGGAGAGGGAAGAGAGAGAATTGAGAGTTAGTGGAGGGCAATTGGGCAATTAAGAATGAAACGTGGGAATTTTATTGTAGCAGAAAAGAGATGCCAGGTTATAACGTGCAAACCCAGGGAACTAGAAGGAGGGGCCAAGTAAACAAGGAAGAGGGAGCGTGGCAGGGTTAGTAGCTTAAGAGACACCCACCTCCCTTTACGTTAGGACCTCAGTACAGCAGCCTGGCTATAGTATGTAACATAAAAGAGAAATTGGAAAATCTAACAGGGTTTGCCTAAGAAGAGACTCCACTGTGGGCACTGTTTCCAGCAAAATGAGGTTCTTAATTACTGACATACTAATATGTTTATAAAATGTCCAGTCTGCCAGAGGTTTGCACCAGGAAGCACAGGACCTTTACAATACAGAAACTATTCTGATCAAGGGGTTATTTTCTCTCTCAGGCATTCACAACAATCCTTTCATGTGTAAATAAGTTCGGCATTTCTTTCTTTTCAGTCTGAAATATATTAGAATATACATAACTTGCATGAATTCTTAACTTTCCCTCAATGTTTTAATATTTTCAATTGAATTTGGTATGAACAAACGTGAAGCTTATTCCTGTATTGTATTGCTCAGTTCTGAGAAACTATGATTTAATACTCATGTCATAACTTGAAATAATACAATATTTTTCAGAGGTATCTAATTCAGAATCAGGAAAGTTGTTGGATGCTGAAATCTGCTTCTTTCCAAAAACTATGTGATAATATAGGCCTGATAATAAATTTTTAAAATTACAGTGATAGACTTATGTTTTTACAGTTTATGGAGGAGCTAAACATAAACAAGCTGGGTAGTTTAGTTCTAGTTAATACCAACATCCAAACACTGATCTTTTGAGCTGTCTCTTGTAGCAGCACTAGGATCTCTTCCTTTGCCATTAGAAAAGGAATTTGAGAAATATCTACTAATGACTTACCATACTCTATTTTAATTATTTGCATTGTAAGAAACTGTGTTTGAATAATTTTGAGTCTGAGAGAATGTCATATTGGATTTGTATTCTCACACAACATCCAGTATCTGGGATACTATAGATAAATGGTGGTTGAAGGTACCAGTTACCTATCAGCATACAATGCTGCATAACCGCCAGAAAAACATAATGGCATACAACCAAAAGCACATTCATTTTGTTCACAAAGCTGTGGAATTCAGCTGACCTGAGCTGATCTCTGATGATCTAGGCTGGTTTCACCCAAACGTCTCTGGCTCCTCTGGTTGTTGGTTGCTTCAGTTTGGACGACTGGGGTGACCTAACTCTGCCCATCTCGTGTCTAATCTGTGGTCAGCTAATACAGGCATAGCTTCATGGCGTAGTGGAAGTTAAGGAATGAGCAAAAGCAATTGTGCCAACCTCTTTCAGGCCCCTGTGTCAATATCCTGTTAGGCCAGAAGAAGCCACATTGAGAGGTCAAAGGTCAGAGTAGGATAGCACTGCAAAATTCTATAGGAAGGACATGGATACAGAGAGGGGTGAAGAGTGAGGGCTATCCGTGCATCCAGTTCACCACATTAAACATCTCAAGAAATCAATCGTAAAGAACACTGTCCAAGGTTCAGGCTCAGCACTGTTCATTTGTTAACTCAAGTAAATTATTTAATCATTCTAAAACCTAATTTCCTTATTGGCCCTTCTCAAGCTTTAAAAGCTGTTGGTTTTATAAAATCGAGCTTTTAATGAATTTCATGCTATATACAGTCTATAGGAGAAACTTCACAGTAAAGTTGTCCCTTGTACTATCCTTAAGTGACCATGATTGATGATCTAATATTGACACATTCTGTAATATTATTCAGATTGATAAAATTTTAGTCTGGACTTGGTATGAATTAATTAAGTACTGGAAGTTGAATTTTCAATTGCAGTCTTCATTTTTTGCTCCCATCTGATGATTCTTTTGAAGCAAACAGTGTGTCAGTATAATGTCAAATGCTGTGACATCTCTCACATGTGAGATGAGTTATAGGGGCCATTGATGCCGTGCCTTAATAATTCATTGTTATGATGAATTATTACTCTAAAATTGACTAGAGGAGCTTTGTCAAATTTGCATAATGCTCATAAAAATGTGGGTTAATTTAGAGTAGATGTTATGATTTGTTTTATATAAAGCATACAGATAATACAGAATGAAATCTGCTTTAATTATATAATATGTAATTATGTAATAGATAATGAAGTGCTGGATTAGTTAAATATAAGAATAAAAACTAAGTAAAAATGTTCCAAATGAAAAATATTTTATAAGTTTCACAAGAAGAAAGTAATATACACAAATGGTCTTTGAAGATGGTTTTCTATGCCTAAAATGACTTCTTATTCTATTTAGATTGCTTCAAAAATTGTACACTTAGATTTCCAAAATAAGTTGATGAACCTATAATTTGTAACTTGCTTTGACATGTCAAATGTTCTGTTTCAGACACACATAAATGACTTGCCATGTGATAAATCGTTCATATCTCTGTGAAACATTTATTTTGGACTGATAATTTACTTGTAATATCAATCACTCTGACCTGTGTCATTTCAGCATCATCATGTAGACATATCCAAGAAACTTCACCAGAATCAAGGTGGCCTCGATTCAAAAGTACCAGTTGGTAGTCAGAATGATTTCGTGGATGTAGAGAAGGAGAGGAACAACTGTGGGGCCACAGCAGTTGGTTGACCACAGGCCAGTTCAACCACAGTGGTTTAACTGTCCACATGACAAAGGTGCAATGGACAGATTCTTACTGCCATTTTGTTTGGAATATATGGCTCAGCTAAAATGACCACCCTGCCCTGCAAATCACATTGAAATAAAGCTTTACATGAGGCATAATATTGAACACCCACAATAATAATAGTAATATTTGTTGTTTTTCATTATTAGATTTTTCACCTCATTTATGGTTTTCATGACCAATGAAGTGTTTTAAGATAGTTTGTATTGTTGTGATAATAAAATTTTGATGTTTTTTCTAGAACAATGAACAACAAGAATTACTCTCTTGAAAAGAGGTTGAAATAATTGATGTGCTTTAAATTTAAAGAAGTGTCAGATAAGTCATTGACTGCAAGCTTGAATTATTATCATTTATAGAGATTGTGATCTGATATTTTTCATCTCTACTGAGGGCAAAACAAGAGCAAATGGACTTGCGGAGGAGTTGATAGCATTCAATTAAGCTACCCAGACTAACTTCCATATGGCAGAAACTTGGGATGAGATAGCAAGGGAAATAAGAAGTTTGTTTCTTGCCAATATTTTAGATACACCAAACCCCCTCAATTTCTATTACACTTCATCTTTGAAACTTCACATTTAGTTCATGGGAAAATTGAAACTGTAATTATTCTTAAGCATACGGTTTGTTCCTTTCTCCTCCTTATTTGGTTTTGTAGCTAGCACGCTTTCTTCTCCAAGGACATGTAAAAGTCAAAATACTAGATATAAAGTCTCTGAAGTATTCCTGCTCCAAACCCGGTCTGCACAATCTGGGTTCTTTCATGTAGTTAGCTTACAGGCTTCTGACACTCCTATAAAAACGTCCCATAGATCTTTTCTTATTACCTTTTCATTGACTCTCTCTGAGTGAGAAAAATGAAATTCTGTAAAGGGCTTTGAAAACCATGCATATTGCAATTCCTCCAAATTTCTAATACTAATCAAGTGTGACTATAAAAGAAACAACCACTGCAGTGAAATTGCTGTAGCATGTAGAGTCTCAAGCCATTATTAATTCATTGGAAACTGGTTTTTCTTTTCTTTTTCTTTAAGATTGTGGATTCTAAAAGGTATCAGATAACACAATCCTTGAGATCAAAGTTTTTGTTTGAATCAGAGGGAAATGTTACCTAATCTTCTCTTGTATGTGAATCTTTCGGGCATGGTACAGCAGTAGTCCCAGCTTTGTGCCCTGAGTGAGTAGTACAGTGTATGTTACATACCAGAGCAGCACCTGCTTTGAACATATTACTTGCAAGTGATGATTTTAGAGACAAGGATAACCTGGAATTAAAGCAGTGGTTCTAACATGAGATTCCTTAACTTCATTCAAGAGAGTAAAATGGAATCTCCTTTCCTAAATCAATTTGATTTTAACATCCATTTATTTAGAAATTACCCAGTATGAACATCTTGGCAATATTTTTATTTGCTTTCCCATTTGTAAATGCAATAAATTACTGTCTTTCTTCATTATGGATTATAATTGTATGATAATTCTATATATAAAAATGCAAAAGTAGAGTAGAGCAAAAATATAATTTTTCAAACTTTATTTTTATCTTATATAATATAGTGTATGTTCTTCATTTCCAAAAAGAAAAGACTCACTGGAGCCATACTTTATACTTACCATACTTCATGTGGATAGCTCATGGAATATGTAGTAGCCTCCTTTGAGTTCAGGATGGGTAGATTAGGCATTTTCTGAGCTTTCTCCTCTTTCTAATGCTTAGACATAAGTCTGTCACTTCCTAAGTTCTCTTTGATGAGAGTAACAGTTGCAGAGACTTTATAGCATATCACGGACTTAAAAAAAAAAAAAAGCCTAATTAAGACAGGGGTGCTGCTTTCCTTTTCCAGTGTTGCTTTCAGGATACCGAGATCTAATTCTTTCAGTTAAATGGGGTGGAACCTTTTCAAATATGTATCTAACAATTGTACTAAAGGGAATTATTTATCTTGGTATTCAATGTCAACAACTAGAATTTTGCTGTGAATGACTGAACATGAATTGTGTAATAAGACTCTATTCCAGCCAAGAGTACAGTAAACCCTCACTCAAGATTAGATGCCAGCTGCTGACATCTTCACTAAGAAACTGATGAAAACATTTCACTAGATATTCTAGATGACCTTCTTCTATGGGTCCTTGATTCACTCTGGTTGCTTGGTGATGCCTTATTTTAAAAACATTATTATTAATTCTACATGTTATTTTATTCATAAATTACTAAGAAAAATAGTTCTCTGAAAGCAGGATGATTAAGTGATAGAATGACAAAGTGCACACCTTTAGAGACTGAAGTGAGATTTCTGGGTTTACATTTTGGCTCCTCCATTAGGTAGCTATGTACCATGAGCAATTTGTTAAAAAGACTATTCCATTATTTGTAAAACTGAGTTACTGGTAGTGCTATACCATGGGATTTTTTCTGAAGATTAGATCAAATAGGTAAAAGTTAGTATAGTACATAGTAAACTACAATGCAGTCAAGCTATAATAATTAACTAATGAGTCTTTACAAATTGATTGCTAAGGAAAACTTTGTTTTCCTACAGTATGCTCTGCAAATTGCTGGTTGTGGCCACTTGATGTTATGGATCTTTCAGTCTCTTGAATGTCTGTTTGCATTTTTTTGCCTTTGAGAACAGCATGCTCTTGGAAATGTTGTGGCCTTCATGAATGCTATGAATATTGGAAAGGATGAGAAACCCTCTTTGTTAATGTCATTGATTCCTCAGAGTGAAAGAAACACTCCAATTGTGTAGTGACATGGATGCCCTGATTCTTTCTGATGGACTCTTTCCCCATCTTACCTCAGCAGCAATAGCTGAGGACGAGCACAGGATTTCAATGTTTATTCAGCTTAAGGCCTATTTTTAGTTGATAGCATGTGTTAAGTGGAAATGTTTTCGTTGAATTAGTTATTTGTTGCATCCAGTTCCCTGGGCTGATTTGCCTGTGGAAAGTTGATTGGGAAATGGTCTCAGGAACAGTGCTTGAGGCAGAGTCCCAGAAGCAGGTCTGGGCAGAGGGAGAAATTGAACCATGATACAGTCACAACAAAGACCTCAACTGATCCTGGAGGGAGCTCTGGAATTGGCATGGCTCTTTAAGGTTGTCCTGAATTAGAAAGTGGGGAACAGACCTTTATACCCCCTGCATCAAACAATCATTGGATGCAGCTGTCCCTGAGAAGGGTCTGTGGTTTTGGGCAATGTGGCTTTTTTCAGCCAAGGGCACAGCCATTTGGTATATGAGGATTATTATTTAGTTCTGAGGCGGATCTGGGTATTATGTGGGTCACTCATTAATTGCTGCCATTGCTTCTGGTTATCTTCCTGGCTAAACAGGGGGCCATTTTCCTTTTTTCACCTTATGTCTCTCTAGAAACTGAAATCTTTGCCAGGAAGGATGACCTTTTAAATATGCTTATTTGTTTTTGCCCTACATAAACATAAATGTTTTCTAGTGAGAAAATTTTGTACTCTCCTGATTCATATTTTCTAATGTAATTTTTTTCCTTTTGTAGCTTTGACTATGTTCTTTGAATTTTCCTACCACTTTACACTAAATCTGTGCTACTGCTTGTCCTTCATAAATTAGACTTGTCGAGTAGTGAGAAAAACCCTAGGCTAGAAAATGAAACCCAGACACCCCACCAAAATAGTGCGTACACCAGATAATCTGTATGCACTTGTCGGTTCTGAAAGCCTGTGATCCTATGGGTTATTCTGAGTTAGAGCATTGAAATTGTTAGACTCAAATGGTCCTATCTCTAACAGAGACTCACATACAGGTGATTCACCACATCTAAGATCCTACTTTGGAAATTAAACAGGTCAGAAAAAAACAAACTCCCTGGGAAAGCTCTCCACTTAGGCCAACGTGGAAGCTAGGGAATAAAGAATGATTCTGTAGCTTTAGTTTATCCCAAATGTTTAATGTAAACTTCAGATCTTATTTGTATCATGGAAAATAAAACATGAGTCAGTTCCCTATCAGGACCATTTTGAGGATTAGACAAGTCGGGGGTTCTATATTAAAGACCTTAATTGAATGGCTGATTATATGTAATCAAGAGGCAGTTAGTTTAGATCATAAAACACATTGCTGTTTCTTAATTTTAATGAAGAAAACCTCAATAATTCAATGTTATTCTAAGTAGTGTTCTAAGTGCAAAAATTACCTGATTCCAAAGTCTAGAAAATCTGTTATTAAAAATATTGCATAGTTTTCAAGTGATGATTTAAAAATCTATCCTTTCATCTTTATATTTAACATCAATGCAGCTTTTTCATATATAAATGAAATAATGATTTAGTAGAATTTATTTTACATTTCTAGATAATGCTATTTTAGTTTGCAAATACTGATACCCTAAAGAAAAATATTATAAGATTACTCTTCATTTTATAGCAACCTATCTCTCTCTTCTCAGAAGATTTAAATGTTTAAGAATGTGCTGCAAGGAGAACCCAGTCATTTCATTCTTTGAACAATTCTGAAATATCATTTCCTATTAGGCAGTTGTGTGAGCACTGACAACCTGGCCCATCTTCTTCCCTAGAGATTAATTTATTTCTTGCAGTGCTTGCTCTTCATGGAAATCTTACTCGTAAGCCTTCACCAATGGGAGATCTCATCAGCAGAATATTAATTATAAAAGCAAAACTGCGTACCATATTGAGTGAGAAAAACAGTTCTGTAGGCAAAGCAACCTTTTTCTTTTCTTGCTACTCTGCTCTCTGCTCTATCTAGGGTTGAACAGAAATATTAACCCCTGGGAAAATATTCTACGAGGTGCTGGGGGATGGTAGAAAGTGCAAATTTTACAATGAGACAGACCCAAGACTAAGCTCTAATTCAAAGAATATCACATTTGTTTGTGACTTTGTTTACTTATCTTTACAATTAGAATAAAAATACTTACCTTACATGAAAGTTCTTGTGCTTTAAAATATCACTTAATGTATATGTTAAAAATACATATTCTTGGGATCTATTCTCTAGAGCAGAGGTAGCAAACCATCATGGCCTGTGGGTAAAATATTAATAGGTTCCACTGCCTGGTTTTTTTTTATGGCTGGGGAGCCAGGAATGTTTGCTTTTTCATTTTCAAATGTTAAAGAATATTAAAAAATAATTTTTGACATGTAAAAATTATATAAAATTCAAATTTTAGTGTCTATGAGTAAAGTTTTAATGGCACACATCTACATTTATTTAAACATTGTCTATGACTGCTTTAGTGCTCTCTAAATATCTCTCAGATATTTACCGTCTGGCTCTTTAGAGAAAAAGTATGCTTCAGAGGTTCTCAGACACACCACAGGGATGTGTTTCAACATATCTCAGGTGAATCTGCTATAGGGGTTCTATGCATCACACTTTGAAAAATAATGCACTGGAAGAATTGTAAACAACCTTTCTGTTCTTCTCACTTATCACACCCACTCTACCAGAAAGTCTGATTGGCTTTATCTTCAAACCACATCTAGAATATGCTCATTTTTTTTTTTCGTGGCTACTGCTACCAACCAATTCTAAACTATCTGCTGCTATCTACCACTGTCTCTTATCCAGATTCTTGCAGTTCCTTCTTAACTAGTCTATTTGCTCCCACACTTGGCCCATAGTGTCCATTCTCAACACAACAGCCAGAGTAAGTATATTATCATCTTAAATCAGATAGTGTAACTCCTCTCGCTAATATCCTCCAGTGGCCTCCCTACTTCTCCTCCTTTCTCACTACTCTGGATATGTTGGCTTCATAGAGGTTTCTCAGAAACCCTAGAAGAGCTCTATCCTCAAGGATGGCACAGACTGTTTTATCTAAATGCCACAATCTTTCCCCAGAGATCCATGTGGCTTTCAGCTTCACTTCCTTTAGGTCTTTCTTCAATGGTTACCTTCTTGGTGATCACCTTATTTTAAAACTATAACACTCCTGTCTGGGACTGTCTGTCCCCTTTATGCTCTCTAACATATTTTTCACTGTTCTTTTTATTTTGATTATTGGTCACCTACTCCACATAAGGTCACTATGAAGGCAGGGATTTTTATCAGTTTGCTCTATCCTTAGGTTATAGGAAAGTCTCTTGCTCATAAGAGGTTCACATTAAGTATTTCTTGAATACAAAAATCAACTCCATACTCCTATCTTGTGCTTGACAGATTACATGTGGATTCTATCAAACATTTTCTGCATGCAAAAACAGTTGCCAAGAGTACAAAGACTCATCTCTGAAACATAATGCAATACCCACTTAATCACTTCAAATGAGGGGGGAAATAAAGCAGCTATTCGCTTGTATTATTTGTTTGTTCAGTCTCAGCCAACAATTTGATTACAAAAGATATAAGGAAAGGGAAGCTAATGGTGGGTACAAATACGAAAACATGAGTGAAAATCCAGTTGAAACTGCTCAGAAGAGACTCCAAGAAACCACAATCAAGTTGCATCCTAAAAGAGGTAGATGGTTCGTTTGCTCACCATCACGTTGAGTTATTTCAGGTGACTGGCACTCAAAGTTCCCTAAAAGGAACATGAAGAGGGAATATTTTTCCTTCAAATTAACACTTTAGGAAACATCAGCTTTATAAAATAATGTAAATTACTTCTAGACGTACTTCAGCTTGATTCCTCCAAAATATGAGGAAATGGAAATTTTCTTTCATATTAACCTTCTTATTCCAATAATTATCTATGTAATTGTATGCTTATTACTTCATTTTGTAGATTATTCTTACAAAGATGTAATTATAACCATTGAAGGACACTTCTTTATCCTGTGTTTTTGAGAGAGAAAAGCAAAATGAAACTCCATTCTATGTCTACTTGTCTAAGTGGGAAATACTTCATTTGATCGCCAAGGAACCTAGTCTACATGATTATAAATACCTCAGTTAGTACGATCATCTGAGTAATTGCTTCAGTGAATATTCATTTCAGTGAAATCATCACCTCCTTATTAAACTTGTGACATTTCCAAAAGGAATAGTTGGTGAATGCCAAAAAGAAAAAGGCTTTAAATCAATTTGGATTTTAAAGCCTAATTCATTGTCAGAAAAAAAAAAAGTTCTTACACATTTTGAGATTTGTTGAAAGTTAGTATGCTAAGGAACACAGTTTTGATTCAATGTGAATCTTCCACTGTCAACTAGAGCTTGCCACCAGAGCATAGATTCAATTTAGAGGACCAGTGCACTGGGCGAAGATTGGGTTAGATTAGGCAGGGTGAGATGACCTAAAAGGTCCCCTCTAGAACTAAGATTGTTTAAATCCCAGTATTTTATTTGGAAATAATCTAATTATTTTAATTAGCTCAACTCCCATTTTTCTGCTTGATTATGTACTATCTTAAATCAGCTTATTGACAAGGGACAGTTAGACCAATAACTGTCAAGAAGACAGACTGAACTTTCAAACTGCATGCTTGTAATAGTTTTATATGACTCTGAGATGGTAATAGCAAGTAATATTTCTGTAGCACTTTACATTTTACAAAGTACTTGCAAGATCATTATTGCATTTGATATTTCCTCAACTCTCTATGATTCAGTCATTATAATGAAAACTTATTTGCTGATAAGAAAATGGAATTCAGAGATTCCTCAAGACACACAGCCAGTTAAGTTGTAGACCCAGGAATCAGATCTAGGTCTTCAGATTCCAATTCTCTGTACTACAATTCATTTATTTCATTTTCCTTCATCCCATCCCCCTATTCCCTTAGAAAAAGCAGCACTGTAAGGAAGAAATATTGCTGTTATTCCTTTTTATAGATAAAGTCACAAAGATAGTAAATGGTAGAAGTGGGAATTAAATCTGGGCATACTGCCTAAAAATCTTGTGTTCTTTTATCTAAAATGCATATTCTACAGTGTGTGGTTTTATTACCATTTGTCATATAAGAAACGTCTAAAAATCTAAAGCCATCCATTGAAGACAGTGGATCATGAGGAGAGGGAAGAAAATCTAGGAGAACATGCAGTCCACGTTCTCTTCCTCTGCTCCAGTTCCCAGCTCCAGATAGTACTGATGGAAATGTTGATAGAGGAAAGAAATTCAGACCATTAGGGGAATTAACATGGTGTGTAGAGATATTCCTCTTCTTTCTTCTTCGACATTACCTTTCTTCTTTCTCAATTTGTCTGTGACCTCCACAGGAACTGCATATTTTGTTTCTGTGTTTCACATACATCATAAAAGTCGCTAAGAGATGATGAGATAATTTCAATCTTTTTACATTTATTGACATATTCTATCTGTGTGATTATTGCATTCAATAGGCAATATTATCCTCCTTCTCCTTCTCCTTTAAAAAAATATGAGAAAATGAGGCACATAAAGGTTAGGTAAATTGCTTTAGGTTATAAAGTTATTGTGACAGAAAAGGAATTCAAAGAAGAAAAGAAAGAAGAAAGTGAGGAAAAATGGGAGAGGGGAAGAGGGAAGGAAAACAAATGGAAGGAATAAAGGAAAGGAATGAAGGAAAAGAAGAAAAGAAGGAACGAAGAAAGGGAGGGAGGGAGGAAGGGGAAGGGAAGGGAAGGGAGGGGAGGAAAGGGGAGGGAGGGGAGGGGAGGGGAAGGGGGAGGGAGGGAGGGAGAGAGTGGGGAGGGAAGGAGGGAGGGAGGGAGACAGTTATAGGCTATTGAGTACTCAGAAGGAAGACCAACAGAGACTTTCTCTCCAGGTCCAGGCAGCTAGCACTTAACTAACCTCTAGTAGAACAGAGGCAGGGGAAGGTCAGAGAGATTTCTGGTTTTCTGTTCCTCTTGAAGACTTGCAGTGCTTACTTTTAGGGCTTCTTTTAATCACTCATCCATCTTATTCCATAAAGCTAGAGTAGAAAGGAATTAAGTGTCTTGCCTGAAGACAGGCACAATTCCTATTTGTAGCTTAGCTTGCTTTATTTGAGAGTCTGACATGTCGAGTTAATGCCAGGTCTGTGTATATGGTAACTGGGAACTTTAACTAGATAGTACAGCTTATGCTGGAGGCCTGTTGGTTTTTCTTCAGTTTAACAATTGCTAGGTACCCTTTTCCTCCTCTGTAGTTCTTAGGACTCCTAACTAGGCTTGCATTCTATTCTGCAGGCATAGTACCACAGCAAAAGACTGTTGAGTCCAGAAACAGGCATTTTTAGACACAATCAGCTTCATCACCTTGCTAGCTGTGTGATTTCTGGGCAGGTCTCAACTTAACTGAGGCCTCAGTTTTCTACCTTACATTACCAATAAGATAGAATATTCATAAGGATGAACTAAAATGCAAAGAAAAGCATTTTGTCCATGGAAAAACACTTCTACATCTAAGCTATTATCTCCTACCTTATACAAATATCTACCTTGTTTCTGAAGCGCTACTTTCTTCTGTTTTTCCCCCCATTTTATTTTGTTGGCTCTTTCTGCTGTACTTCCAACCATTTCTCAAAAAGCATACATGCATGTGAGTGTCAACAGTATTTGAAAGCAGGCAGTTTTCTTTCTGGTTATTTTCAGTACTTGTTTCTGATCAACATTTCTTATTTTTTCATTTATAGAATGTTCAAAAATGAAAAACATCAAAAATAACAAGATGTGACAGAAGCCACTTAGGCAGCAAACATAAATGCTGCCGTGAAAAAGGAAGCTAGCCTTCTAATTGAAAAGCAAGTATTTCCCAACAGACTCCAGAAGAACCTTGACTCATCACTGTAAACAAGAAAACAACCTTAAATGTTTTAACAGATAAAACTTAGAGAAACCTATGGTACAGAATTCCTATAGTCTATTCTGTTGTGTCTAAACTTGTATGTATTGTTTTGTTTTTATTTAGGAGATATTTATTTAAGGTGCACATTTTGGGGGGTGTTCTTATTTCTACTACCAACAACTAAGTAATTGAGAAATAATTTTGTATTTAAGTTTGAGTAAAACTGGTCTGAAATGGGATAAAAGCCCACCAAATATTTTCATTTTTTTCAGTATGTGTTTTGCCATTTTTAGTGCTATCATCATTTCTGACAAGACCTAAAGAAAAATAATTATATCTGAGTGATTTAAAATGTCTAGGTTTCTTATCCACATCCCTTGGAACTGTGGAAAGGAGTTTGGCTTCACATTCACAGTGTATTTGTAAAATACACTGTATAATGATTATATTTGAATTTCAACAGCCAAAGCCATTGAGAGTCAGAGGAGTTTTTCCATAACCTTCTCTTTTATGCCCCAACAACAAGTTCATGACTGAAATTTCACCAGATTTCTGAGATGATGTCTTAATATTTTATGTACTATATACCAGGTAATTCTTTAGATAAATGTTTATTAGGATTGTAGGAAAATTATCTAGTTAATCATAACATTTAATGGAAAGAAAAAGGCAATAAAATTATAATGAGATATAATAAATTTGGTTGACAATAAACCAAAGTGTTTCTTAATTAGTATACATTAGAATTATGTTCTTATAGTTGCATCATCTATAAAAATTACTTTAAGGGCTCTCACATTTTGATAATTTATCTTATTACATATTAAGTATACAAGAACAACATTATTTTTCCTCTAACAGAATGAAGAGACAGGCTATCTGGTTAATGTTACATAGGAATTTAATAGCAAAGCTTGAACTTTATCCATAGATCATACTCTGTACAAAATCTGTTAGCTAGCATCCTGTCTCATACTTATTTTATGTTATATGAAGAAATTTGTTGATTTTGTACCAAAGTGTTTCTGAAGACAATAAATTGTGAGTCAATTTTTTAACAAAAGAAATACAGTTAGAGATTTTTCAATGTTTATATTCTGATTAAGCTTAATTTCCCTGATTGTTTTTCTTTTTAAGTGATAACGAATCCTGATTTCTAATGTTCTAAAAATTGCTTTGTGATTTGATTGTGGTAATATCATTTCTTATCTACAATTTCTAGAATTTTATGGGATAGTTTTACTTTTATTCTGCCTGTACAGACAAGAACAAAAACTTTTCTAAGCCCCACATTTGGCTATTGAAGGTCACAGCGAATCTTAACTCAACCTAACAACCTTGGCCAAATGCATTATGGGTATTTTAGACTCATATAATTTGTTATTTTCAAATAATAGTGAATAATTTTTTATTTGGAATATGAGAACAATTAAATTTGTACTTTTAGTAAGTACGATTCTTTGATTAGAAAATTAAGAGAATGCATATCTTAATTTGGTTGTAAATTATCAAGGGCTTTCTAATAGAAATCATATAACATTTCTAAATATAAGTGCTTGCACATACTGTGTTTCCAGTTGTCTTAATATTGAAGAGTGTAATAAGCTTCATGTTCAACTATTGGAGATTTGGGAAGATTGAAAATAAATTTCCTAATTTTTATTTGTATATGTTCTCTTCTATGTTTAACTCTAGAATAACTATCTTCCTCTAACAATTAAGTTAAAATATTCTTTAACTAGGATTGAAATCAATTGGTCACTAAGGAGGGAGTTAAAAAAAAAAAAAGCCAGGAGGAGAGAGATTGTCCTCCCTGTGTCCTCTCCTTCCCCTATGGACTTACAGTGCTGAGCTCAAGCATAATGACCAAACTTCACAGCGTGGTCAAGCTGCAGAGATAGGTGCCAAGGCTACCAATTATTAATACTGGCCTCTTCCTAATTGAATCAGTCAAGCAGTTTTACAAAAGGCTGTCAGAAAGGAGTGAGAAATTGAAAGGGGAAAATGTGATTGTTGAGATGGGCTAGTTCAACTCTTATATCCAGGATTTTAATATAAAAATAGTTTATTTTAAGATGAAAGTCAACATGTAATGAGACTTATAGGTATTTATCCAACAGTTCTTGGTTCAAGTTGCCTCTAAAAGGAAGATAATGTATAAAACTCTGGGGAGAGTCAGAATTAGGATCTAATTATAACCCCAGTAGGCTGAAATACTAAAAATGAAATCCAATGGAATAAAAGTATTCTTTTGATTTTACCATGAAAATATTTCCACAATTTTAACACTTCTGACTGCTTCTACTCCTACTGCTGTGGTCCCAGCTTCAGTCATCTCTTTTGGATTACTGCAAAAATCCTGTAACAATTCTTCCCATTCCAGCTCTTGCTACCTATCAAGCTATTCTGATTGTGAGAGCCAGAATGAACTCAATAAAATATGTGCTATTATTACACACCACAGTGATGTGCTACCTCATTCAGAATAAAGGCCAAATTCCTAAAATGATCTAGAAAGGTATACACAATCTATTTCCATTATCTCTCTGGATTCTTCTTCTTCACTTTGCTCAAGTCATACTGACCTTCCCATTTGATATGGTTTGAGTGTCTCCCCACCTAAATCTCATCTTAACTTGTAGTCCCCATAATCCCCACATATCATGGGGGGCACCCGGCTGGATATCCCCAATCATGAGGGTAGTTTCCCCCATGCTGTTCTCCTGAAAGTGCATGAGTTCTCATGAGATCTGATGACTTTTATAAAGGCTTTTTTTCACTTTTGCTCAAAACATCTTGCTGCCACCATGTGAAGAAGGATATGTTTGCTCCCCCTTCTTCCGCGATTATAAGTTTTCTGAGCCCTCCCCAGCCATGCTGAACTGTGAGTCAATTAAACCTCTTTCCTTTATAAATTGCCCAGTCGTGGATATGTCTTTATTAGCAATGTGAGAATGGACTAATACACCATTATTCAACAACTAGGCCAGGGCTAGTCCTATCCCAAGGCCTTTGAATTTGCTGTTCTTCCCACCTGGAACACTTTTAGCTCACCTCTCCAAACAGGTCACTCCCATACTTCCTTCAGGCTTTTCCACATATTACCTTCTCAGTGTGGCCTGCCCTGGCCACCTTATCTCAAGCTGTAACCTCAACTCCTCTTGGTCTTTCTATCTCCTTCCCTGCCTTAATTTTCTCCATAATAGTTTATTCTATCTAACATAACACATTATATATTTTACATGTCCTGTTTCTTTTCTGTCTCTTTTAAACTAGAATGTAAACTCCCTGAAGGCAAGATTTCTTATTGGTTTCTACGCTACATCCAGGCACTTAGAATAGTGTCTGGCGTATATCTGGGACTCAATATATGTTTTCTGAGTGAACTGATTAAAGTAAGGAATACGAGAACTCAGGTCAGACTGCCCAGGTCTGAATACTGACTCCCTATTTACTGAGTTGCCTTGGATAAGTTTGTGAGCCTCTTTCTGCTTCAAATTCCTACATATGTGTAAAATAGGGATTAAAATAGAATCTACATTGTAGAGTTGTTGTGATAATTTGATGAATTAATATATGTAAAGTGCTTTGAGCTTTGACAAAAAGTAAGTCCTCAATACATTTATCTGTTATTATTTTATAATATATATATCTGTTCTAAATTATATGTTAAATGTTAGATGAAGGCTTTTTAGTTTTGGAGTCTGGCATCTTTTCTTCTTTGAGTTTTCTTTCTTTCCCGCTTTCACTGTTATGTGCCATGACAAATACTCATCTACTCCTTGTTATCTTAGCTCTGGTCCCCTAGAAGCACAGGTTAAGTGGGAGATCCTCGTTCAGTGGTTTATTGGCGTGTTCTTAGGAGAAACCTGTATGGAAGTGGAAGAAGCAGAGCAGGACATAAGAATATCTAGATAAATATGTGATTTCATGAGAAGTCCAACCTAATCTTTCCATCCCAATCCTAAGGATATCCTGTAGCATGGATTATACCACTATGCTGATCCCTCAGCTGAACCTTTGAAAATTTGTTCCAAAGTCAAGCAGCTTCCAAATTGTGTACTATATGATAGGATAAATGAGTCCCATAGGTATATCCCACTGTTGCATCTCCCTTGTGATGAATTGTGTCACTTGGTCTGAGATGATATAACAGGATATCATGTTGGGAGAACAGAAATTCTGTCACCCCTCTGTGGCAGAGCTGTCTGAGGCACTGTGGAAAGGGAAGGTAAACTAATACCTATAATATGTTTCAGTTTCAGTTATGAGAAAGCATAGATTCTTCTGGGATCAAAGGGATTCAATGTAATAACATTCTTACCAACTGACTGGATTGTTTCTTCAACGATGGCACCTTATCAGGGAGAGGGCCAAACATTGGTCTTTGTGACAGGAAAGTTGAACCGTCAACAGTAACAGTAACGAGGTCAGCCTTTGTGAGAAAGTTCATGCTGTTGGCTCATGACTTACAATCATACCTGCCATCATGGTTTCTCCACTCATGAGTCCTTTGTGTAAGTACTGGGGTCACTAAGGACAGAGGCTAGTTGATATCTACTGATTGAGTCAACCTGTCTAATTGATTTTATAGTACAGATGCTCTCTGATGAACACTAATGTACTATTCAAAAATTTCACACCCTTTCTCCATTTCCACAGGTATAGTCATCCTCTTCTTCAGATATTTTTTTCCTTCATATTCAACTTTATCTGTATCCAAGTATTTGACTAACCAGCTAAGCAATTTGCTATTGAAGCCACTTGCCGAGGAGTTTATGTTTATCCTGATTACAGGCTGTTTTTCTCTTTATACTCAAAGTGGACAACCAGATGCATGCAACTCCGTCCACCGGGAGGATTTCAGTTCATCATTGTCTTTCAGACCCTCTCCTAAGTGGGGCTCTCATGCAACAGTAATCCATTTTGGGCCTCTGCTAATGCACCAAGTTGACCCATCCATGAATGAATCCACTTCATTTTATTAATTGTTTCCAGAGAACCTCACCATGATCTCTGGAAGTGTAAACTGAATAAAAAATGCAGGTACAACAATGGTGGGTGAGTGACTTGAGGGTCTCATCAGTCACTCATTGGCATAGCTCATTTGTATCATCTGGACCTGCTCCACCCCAGTCTTGAATGTGCTGCTTCTATCTTGCAAAGTGCTGCTGCTGCTGGGCTTACTTGATCTTATGAATTCATGTGTCTGATAGCAACCAGCTCAAGAGGGCAGCTTCAGTCATATGATTACACAGTGTTCCATTGTCATTTATCATTTTCCTACTTGGTAAAGTAGCATGGTGACAGCTGCTTTTCAAATGTTGTGTAGTTCTGTGATAAAATGTTATGGCCATGTTTCAGGGATTGCACAGTAATTCTCCTGTGAGAGCTTGCCAGAGATTTTATTCAGAGCAGTATACTCAAGTGTGGTATAAACTGCCTATCCAACTCCAAAAGCCTTGCTAAATGCTTTCTTAGTGAAAAGAGGTGTAAAGTACATGCTATGGTCTGAATGTCAGTGTCTTCCAAAATTCATATGTTGGAAACCAATACCCAATGTGATAATGCTAAAATATGGGCCTTTACATAAGTAATTGTCATGATGGTTCTACTCTCAGGAATGGGATGAGTTATCTTACAAAAGAGGTTGAAAAGAGTGTCCTTTCTCTCTTCTGCCATGTGAGGATACAACAAGAGGTGCATCTTTGAAACAAAGTAAGCCCTCAACAGGCCTCAAATATTCTGGTGCCTTGATCTTAGACTTCTTAGCCTCCAGAATGGTGAGTAATAAATTTCTATTCTTTATAAATTACCCAGTCTAATATATTTTGTTATAGCAATCCAGAACAAATAAAGTACAGTGCAGTGACTTGTTCTTTGTCTGAGGAGATATCCTAGCTTCCATAGCTCACTGGAATCCTAAAAATTTTATCCATATGGCAACATCTTGAATTTTTGCAAGGTTTATCTAACAGTCCCTGGATTGTATGTGTCTTATGAGGGAACCCATAGTTCTTTATATCTTGTCAAAATAACATAGCATTTTTCTAATAATGAACCATCATGATGTATTATAGCATTTCCAGGTGAACTTGGTCATTTGGGCTCTGCTGTGGCAGAAGGCAGGTGAGTTAGAATTGCCCTGAGGTTGAAAATGACATGAGAACTGTTTTTGATTCTTCTTAAAAGATATTAAAAAGAATGAACTTGCCCGGTCTAGTAAATTTACTGGTCTGGTAAAAATACAGTACCTGTTATTAGGGCCACTACTTAGCCAAGTTTCCTGTCAGTTATATAATATATCAAGTTTTTGTAGGGACCTGCTGCTAAATTAAATGTAAATATGACAGAGTCCATCATCCCTGAATTCTTTAAACCTTTGAGGGTAGCAGTGATTTATGCCAATATACTTAGAATACAACATTTGTTTTATATTTATTACTTCGGCCAGGGGTAAATGAAGGTAGTTTCATTCAACTCAGCTTTTTGTATTATAATAGCTCTTTCACCACAAACCAAGAAACCATTGTTATGGTTCCAAGAGCCAATATATATGTCTGTTTTGATTATAACCTGAGAAATGAGGAAATGACCATGGATAGGGTCTGTAGAACCAATGGACCCAATGTGAGATGGACCTGGCCAAGGAGATTCATTAT